GAAGGAGGTGATGGTGAGCTGAAGGAGGTAATAGTGAGCTGAAGGAGAAATGGTCAGCTGAAGGAGATAATAGTGAGCGGAAGGAGATAATAGTGAGCTGCCTTCTTGACAATTGCAGTCATTGAGGTGTATGGACACCACAGTGCTGTTCGGAAGGATGTTCTAAAATTTTGACTCAGCCACAGTAAAGGAATGTTGATATTGTTTCAAATCAGGATGGGTGTAAGTTGGAGTGGAACTGGTTGGTGGTGTTGTTGTCATCCATCAACTGCCCTTGTCCACGTAGGTGGTGGAGGTTTCGGGTTTGGAAGTCTGTCACAGGCACCTTGGTGAATTGCTGTAGTGCACCTTGGAGATGGTGCACAAATAAATAAAAGTAAGCGTCAGATAATTAGAATTTAGTGTGTCAAACATGCATGTATTAGAAGCTACATATACTAATGCACAGGTCCTGTTCTTTGCCTACAGAAAGAATATGTTAACACTGCAGTTGTTTCAACTCAACACAACTAGAAGAAGCCATTGCTTTGTTCATTCCTCAGGACAATGCCTTGACTAAACAGAATCAACTTGCCTAGATAAACATTTAAACAAAGCTGACAGTCAACTGTCACTCATTATCTAACTTGTGAAATCTTTATGGTAACATCTCTATCAATCAAAGTGCACTTGCCAACCCATCAGTACTCTTCTTTAACACAGCATGCATGTTATTTTCCATTTACATTGGTATTTCTTGCAAATTGTCCTGACAAATACAAGACAAAAACTTTAACAAAATGTTGTTCTTTGATCAATACTCAACAATTTAATTTTGTTGTTTGAGCAAATATTAAATTATTTTTCTTATTTCCTTCTGATTCTTTACTTGTAATCAATGTTCTCTCTAGGTTGCTTGTGCAGCCACTCCTACATTCTGTGCACGGCAATCAGTTTGGCAATGTGGATCACAACATTGACTTCACTCAGAAGTCTGTGCAGAAAAAAAAAGGAACACTGCTTGTAATCAAGAAATGACGTAGTAAACTACCTGAAATAGTTGGAGAAATAAGATCAATATGATGCATTTTTTCATAGAATCCCTACAGTGTGGAAACAGGCCATTCAACCCATCAAGTCCACACTGACCCTCCAAAGAATATCCCATCCAGACCCAGCATTTCCAACGGTAAATTCCATCTAGCCTGTGTATCCCTGGATATTATGGCCAACTCACCTAATCTGCACGCCTTTGGACTGTGGGAGGAAACCCACGCAGACACAGGGAGAATGTGCAGACCCCACACAGTTGCCCAAGGCTGGAATTGAACCCAGGTCCCTAACACTGTGAAGTAGCAGTGCTAACTACTGAGCCACCATGCTGCTCCTCCTGCATTGATTTTATTAATTAAATAGTCACTAATGTTCATAAGTTTTCTGTAGTGTGATGTTTGTAGTCTAACGTTATAAAGTAATGTTGGGGTTGTTTTTCTGCAGTAATTTCAATCTTTAATTGTGTAGTAATTTTTTTACCAGATCCTTAAGTATTTGAGTGCCTGGGACCGTCTCTGTAAGGAGGGCTATAAGGAGACACTTGTGGAAGAAGCCATGGAGATCTTTCAGAATTCAGAGAAAAAGGCATGAAACTCATCAAAGTCCTTTTGTTTTCACTTTTTTTTCTTATGCTGTCCTTCAAATATCATATTGAAAGTATAAATTGTCTAATATTTTATCCATATTCTGTTGAATAATCTAAATCTAAAAATTTCTGCAAGTAATAAATTTATATTACATTTATAATTTATACCCGATGTACATTTATGCAATGTTTTGTTAGAACCTAACGGGATTACCACTGGTTTTATAATTGAAAGATTGCTTTCAAAGTGCAGTCATAATAGTAACGAATGCAACATTGTGACCAATTTTCACACAGCAAGATCCTGAAAAGCAAACCAATGAAAGGATAGATCAATGTGTTTCTGGGGATGTTCTTCAAGGAGGAATGTTGGCCAAAACATTAGAAGAACTCCATTCCATTCTTCAAATAGTGCCTTGAGAAATATTTACATCCACCTTAAATACATCGTGGTTCACCCTGCAGCACTGAAATCTCTGTTCAGGCTATGTACTCAACTCATGGTTATGTGAGTTGGTATGCTGGATTACAATTTTATTCCACTATCTGACCCAGAAATAAGAGGGCTACCAATGGTTCGATAATGCAGCATTCCTTTGCTACCACAGTGAAGTGATAGCATAGATTACTAGCCAAGTTCATAATGAGGTCTGAACCTTAAACCTTCTGACTCCAGAATAAGGTTACAAATCAAACCAAATATTAACTGTTTAACTATTTATTTCAAATGGTTTACACTTCTCCTAAAATAGTGGAGAAATACATGGACCCTTATCTGTTGGCATTAATAATGGAGACTGCGGTGTTATTTAAAATAACTAATCCTATGGGGTTTAATAATCTTTAATCAAAGCAATTTAGAGTGTTCAGTGTATAAATCCTGTTTAGCACTTGTGTTTAGTTGATATTAATGATTTTGAGCAGTTAATTTCCCTCCTTTCAAGGACCAAATTGGAAAATAATTAAGAATAGAATAGTTTACCTTTTGCAATTCACCAGCTGATAGTCCTAAATATCTTCGTCTGCTTTGATTTTGTGTGGCATTGCAACAGACAAATTCAAGTTTTGCCTTTGTCCCTTTCACTTGTGTACTCATCCGCACTGTCCTGCACTTGTTATATCATATTGTTTCTTGCTGTTTTCATTTATCTCAATTAAGCACAAGGTCTCTGACCTTTAAACTCTTTGAGTTTTAGCCTAGAAATATCCAATACAGTTGTGGAAAATAGTTTTGTTATTTAAATGCTTCAGACAAAGGATAATTATAAATGCTCACCTCCTGATAGTTGAAGTGCTTCTGTCTTTCTCCGAAAATTAAATCTGTGGTACCAAAATGTAAGCAAGCTGGAAATACTTAGTTGTGGTCATTCTTCAGAATTTATAAAACAAGCTTGAATTGTTTCTAATTCAAAAGGGCTGGTGAAAGTTCTATAACAGGGTCCTTTTTAATGCCAGAGTATGCAGAATTGTGAGATCTAAGATATTTGAAAGCTCCTTACTCGCCTGAAAATGAAGCCTGATGATTCCCTGGGGTCCCTTCTGTTCTCAGTTTAGATTGTGTGATAGCACCACAGTTACTCTTGTGTCTGGATTTCATTACCATGTCCTAAAAGATGTCCAAAGCTGATAATGAGATCCTTTTGTTTGCTGCCAAACTTGACTAACTCCTTCTTCCTTTCTTGCACCCTTTTGCACGCAGGCAGTTGAATTTTTGACATTAATGACACAGTTCGATGAGATGGGTTTTCAGCACGATGATATTAAGGAAGTTCTCCTCATTCACAACAACCATCGGGAAAAAGCGCTGGAGGAACTTATGACACGTGCCCGATAGTTGGGAAAAGTTATGATTCTACCTGCTCTGGTTTTTGTGTTGCGCAGTTAAGCAGTCTAACCCCTGACCCTCCTAGATGCAGCATTTATCCTTTATAAAGTATTTGAAAATGGATCTGCCCTAATGCAAAATAGTGAGAGATTGCATAGTTCTGACGTGCAGTGGAATCTGGGTGTCCTAGTGCATGAATAGCAAAAGGCTTATTTGCAGGTACACCAAGTTATTAGGAAAGCTAATAAAATATTATCTTTTATTGTGAGGGTAGTTAAATTCAAAAGTAGGAAGATTTTGCTTCAGCTGTACAGGGCCCTGGTAACTCTACATCTGGAGTACTATGTACAGTGCTGGTCACCTTATTTAAGGAAGGATACAAATACATTGTTCAGAGAAGGTTTACCAGACTAATACCTGGAATGGGTGTGTTTTCTTTTTCAGAATGGTTGGATAGACTAGGCTTTCATCTGCTGGAGTTTAGATGAGTAAAAAGTGACTTGAATGCAATGTTTAAGATCCTGAGGGGCCTTAACAGGGTTGATGAGTTTCCTGTTATGGAGAATTTATATCCAGGGCTCGCTGTTGAAAAGTAGGGGGTTGCCTATTTAAAACAGAGATGAGGCAAACTGTTTTCTCACAGATTTGTGAGTCTTTGGAACTTGCTTCCTGAAAGGGCAGTGGAAGCAGAACCTTTGAATATTTTTAAAGCAGCGGTAGGGTTCAGAAGGAATTTACCAGGATGTTTCCAGGTATGGAAAGTTTGAGTTATAAAGAAAGGCTTGATAGGTTGGGACTTTTCTTACTGGAGCAAAGAAGATAGAGAGGTGACCTTACAGAAGTTTATAAAATCATGCAGGGTATAGATAGGATTAATGGTAGGTGGCTTTTTCCTAGATTGGAGGATTTCAAGACTAAGGGGCACATTTTTAAGGTGACAGGAAAGAGATTTAAAAAAGACATGAGGGCAAAATTGTTTACACAGTGAGTGGTTCATGTGTGGAATGAACTTCTTGAGGTAGTGATGGATGCAGGTATAATTACAATGTTTAAAAGACATTTAAATGGATATATGAATAGGAAAGTTTTGGAAGGATATCGGCCAGGAGCAGGTAAATGGGACTAGTTTATTTTGGGATTATGTTTGGCCTGGACTGGTTGGACCGAAGGGTCTGTTTCTGTGCTGTATGACTCTATGACTGTATAAGTGGTGCATATGGGCACAATTACAACTTTTAAAAGACATTTGGATAAGTACATGAATAGGAAAGGTATGGAGGGGTATGGACCAGGAGCAGGAAGATAGGACTAGTTTAGTATGGGATTATGTTCAGCATGGACTGGTTGGACCGGAGGGTCTGTTTCCATGCTATATGACACTATGACTCTATAAGTGGTGGATGTGGGCGCAATTACAATGTTTAAAAGACATTTGGATGGATATTTGAAGAGGAAAGGTTTGGAAGGATATGGGCCAGGAGCAGGCAGGTGGGACTAGTTTAGTTTGGGATTATGTTCAGCCTGAACTGGTTGGACTAAAGGGTCTGTTTCCATGCTGTAATACTCTATGACTCTAGATAGATTCTCAATAAGCAAGGGGGTTTAATGTTTAGACAGGAACGTGGATTTGAGGTTACAATCAGATCAGCTACAATCTTATTAAATGGTGGAACAGGGTCAGGGACTAAATGCTCTTTGTTTGAGAGTTCATATGAAAGCATATCATGAACGTGCAAAGGAAATCTATTCTTAACGTATTGAAATTTATTCAGTATTTAAAATGCATTAATATTTCCCAACCTCTTCTGTGTTTACCTGCTTACTTAGTGTGGAGAATTATCTAGTTCAGCTAATTGTTGTTTTGAATGGTTATTAGAAAGTGTGTTTAATTAGCGGAAGTGAAAACCCATCCAGGACTGGAAGACAAATTTGACTGCACAGAGGCAGTGAGGAGTTGCGAGAGGTGATGGTGAGTAGGAGCTGAGTGTCATCAATGTACTTATGGAATTGTGTCCTTGTGCCACATAAAAAAAGGGAAGCATGTAAATGAGAAATATGAGGGGCTCAAAAATAGATCCTGCAGAATCCTGAGGAAGGGAAAGGAAAGCTATTGCGGGGATTCTCTGCTTACAACTGAGTGAGGGAACTACGCCGTCGGCTTAACCTCGGAAAAAGAGTAGAAAACAAGAGCTACTGGAAGCCTAGCCCCAGTTGGATTTGGGTAGTATGGGGCAGGATATATTTCTAAGAAAACACACACAGATCCCATCTGCTATTTGCTGGACTGTCAGTTCTCCAGGAAAGTTTAAAATTCCATTTGCTTAAAAATTAGACCGGCTAATTTATAGGATATACTTAGGAATCCAGCGCATTTTTTGAAGAAAACAGAAAGAGATTTTTAAAAATCAGACAAAAATTAGCAGAGTGTAACATTCCATTTCTGGAGTCTGGAGAAAGGCGTGACTTCTGGAATTGTAATATTTTTAGCCCTAATGACATCCCAAAGACTCCTAAATCTTTAGCTTTGCTCGGTAGTGAAGCAGCCGTCAACATCAAAGAGAGGAGTCGTTTTAAAAAGTACACAAATTTGCAAAGCTTATTTTGCAATGGTAGGGTAGCAGTATTTAATAATGTTTTTACTGAATTATTCTTAGAATTTGGTTGGCTTGGAATTCTCTTGAAGTAAACATTTTGTTAGCATTGAGATGTCTGCATTGAAACAAGTGAAATTTGATGAGACATTAGATTAAAAACTGGACATATTAAAACAGCAGCTGGTTCATAGCAAGAGACTGAATTGCACTCGGCACCTACCCATTAAAAACAAGTGACTAATGAGGAAATAATGACAAGTGCAAAGCCTGAATCCTGATAATGTGGAACATTATTACATTACAGACTCTCTAAGGCTAATCCCTAACATCTAGTATGTTATAATAAGCTGCCTCATTTTAACTTAATTCTTTTGAATCTGAACATTCGTTAGAGCGACAGTTGGATTGAGCTGTTGAAAGAGAAGTGATTGTTCAGCTCCTAATTCTTCATTGCAGGAAAGCCCTGAAGAATCTGAAAATGCTGAAGTGAAGCTGTCAGTTTCATTTTAGACAAAGACACCTTGGGGGTTGGTGTAAATGGACAACATTGAATTGGCAACCATCATACAATACATTCCATCATTCCCTCCATTGACTTCAATTAAAGAAAACCTGGATGTGGGCATATTGGGTGGCACATTTAGATTTACCACCCATTTACACTATTGGCCAAAGTGAAAAGCATCCCCATTCTTTCAAGTGATACATCTTCCCTTAACAAATCAGTAATGTATCTGTCTTTTCCAATGAAATGTTATATTAGGATAAAAGAAATAGGAGCAAGTTAAAGACCATACAGCCCTTTGAACCTGCCCTGTCAAACAACGCAAACACAGCCAATCTTCTACCTCAGCTTCACCTTCCCACATCATCCCCATTTCCATTAATGTCTAAGACAATCTATTGATCACTGTCTTGAATATACGCAACAAGTGAGCATCCCTTTCTGGTAGAGAATTCCAACCCTTTGAGTGAATCAATGTCTCCTTATCTTAGCCCTACAAAATAACAATATTATTCTGAGAGTGAAGTCACATCATTCTAGTCTCAGCAACGAAGGGAACATCCTTCCAGCATCAGCTCTATCAAGTCCTTCAGGGATTTTATATTTCAATGAGATCACCTTTCATTCCAGGGAATATAGGCCTAGACTACACAGTATTTCCTCAAGGATAATACCCTACTCCCTGAAATTAAACTAGTGAAATATTGTAGCAAAGAAATTATGCCCTTCCTTGGTCAAAGGAGTTTCATATATACGTGGCAATATCCATGAGCCTAGTGTCCTATGAGAGGCATATTTCATTCTTCAAGATCATCAGATCTGTTCAGCTTGCATCTGAAGTACAATCCATGCAACATATTTCAGATGTGTTTATCGTGTACTGCAGTGAATTAGCTTGTCTTTCCTCGCAATCCACTTGCATAAACATTTATAGCAACCCGTGGACTTAAGTTTATCATGTAGATTTATTTTAATACTTCCTCAGTTTGTCAAGTGGTTTTGTTCAATCTCAAGTATGTTCACCAGGAAATATGCTCTATCACTTTGTGCTTTTTGAGTAAATAAAACAAATATGTGGGTAGAAATAAAGACAGTTCATAAAAATTGTGACCGATTGTCCCTTCTTATTTCAGACTGATAAACAGATTCTTCATTGCAATTGTAAACTTAACCGTCTGAATGGTAATATTTTCTTATTTGGACAAGGTCATTACATGGGCAGTACAGTGGTCCTCAGCAGCTCTAGATGCAGTGGAAAACTGGTCATTGCCAGCATTTCTGATGTTGTGCAGTGACTTTTGTTGCGAAGTGTGACTGATGCATTGAATTTGACTGTGATGCTTGTCTAAATGTCTATGACCCAAAACTGTACAAGGTCCAAGAGAGTTCCTGATACACCCAGAGCCAAACCTCAAAAACCTTCAGAGCAAGAGGGACACAAAATTGAGCAAGTGTAGAAGATTTATATAAATTAAAAGCAGGAGGAGGCCATTCAGTAAAATTATGGTTAATCTAATTGTAACCTCAAATCCACATTCCTGCTACCCTTGATAATCTCTACCTCTGCCTTAAACACACACAAGGACTCTGTTTCCACCAAATTGTCAGGAGGTGAGTTCCAAAGACTCATGACTCAGAGAGAAAAGAAATTGCCAAATTTCAGTTTTAAATAGAAGTCT